GAATAGAGAATGTGAAGTGGGACAGTTAACTATAAAAATCGGTTTTATAGCTAGATGCTTATAGACAGGCTGAGGAATGTGTATGATTGGATCTCTCCCTCTCCGCCCTCTCCTGAGACACACTGTTCTGCATCCTCATAGTAGCTAGAATGCTTTCTTCTTCAGGACGACACTGCAGTAGAAGCAACAACTCTATTGTATGGTCTCCACAATGAGAGAGTCTGAACTATTCCCTCCTTCAGGAACAAACTGGTATTGTGCTGACAAAACTTAGCCTGTTCTTTCTCTCTCATTGACAGGTAGTAGCCTCATCCCCTTACGAAAGAGAAGGACATGGATGTGCTGCCTTGCAATTACTTGAGGCCCTGCATCACAATATCCACGCAGCAGTGGGTGAGATGTGGGTACTAAATATCCCACCTCTGCTGCAGTACATTGAAGGTAAAGTGCTAGTTAGTAGGAGTGCGGTCCATGGAGAATAGAAGGGAAGCCACAAAATGCAGCTCCGTATTGACATGTGTTGTGCCATTCCTGCTGCAGTACATGGGAACAGTGGGGAATTGAAATTGGGCTTCTAGGCCCTCACTTTTCCTTCACCTGGATAACTGTGAACCACTGGGGTAAATCCAGAGTTTAACCACTGAGGCCAATTCAATCAGGGCAGAATCAGGCCAGGAAGGTTTCAGCTGAATGGAAATTTTACAGCAGTTCCCCCCACACCTTTGCTAGGTTGAATACCCATGAAGCTGGAGGTTAGTGAAATATTTTGGAGTTACATATATAGTCTGATTTTGGAAACGGAATTTTTCTGAAAATTAAACCCCATGTTTACTTTCAAAGGTGATTCAATTAAAAAACCCAGAGTTTTTCTTTCTGTAAGGAAACCCGAGCCATAAAAGCTAGGTTGGCCAAGTGGCTGCCCTTTGTAGAATCTAGGTATTATGGGCCTAAAAATGTCTTTCACCAATTTTACAGTGGTATGAATCTATCGACCTCCGTGGAAAAAACCCTTCAGTCAGTGTAGGCCAAGGGTAGGCAACCTATGGCACGCGTGCCAAAGGTGGCACGCGAGCTGATTTTCAGTGGCACTCACACTGCCTGGGTCCTGGCCACTGGTCCAGGGGGCTCTGCATTTTAATTTAATTTTAAATGAAGCTTCTTAAACATTTTAAAAACCTTATTTATTTTACATACAACAATAGTTATATATTATAGACTTATAGAAAGAGACCTTCTTAAAACGTTCAAATGTATTACTGGCATGCGAATCCTTAAATCAGAGTGAATAAATGAAGACTCGGCACACCACTTCTGAAAGGTTCCCAACCCCTGGTGTCGGCTTTGTCTACACTATGGGGTTATGCCAGCAGAGCTCCAATGACGTAGCTGTGCCAATACAGTCTCTGTGGAGTGTGACAGACCCTATGTGGAGCACAAACCCGATATCTTTCTGAGGAACATCGGACCCCAAAATGTTCAAGTGGGTTTGATATTCAAAAAAAGATTTAAGAAATGAGCTGTATCTTCCCTAGTTGTTGTTGCTGTACAGAGTCCCCAGTATTACATTGTGCCGACATTAAAGAAGGGTAGGTTAGAGCTGGACATTCAGAAACAGGGCCAGATTCTCAGCTGATGTAAATCAGTATAATTCCATTGACTTCAGTGAAGCTACACCGATTTACATCAAGTTAGGA